ACAGATTGATTTATAAGCGTAAATGTCGTTCGGTACCAGAACCACGCAGGTCACCTAAACAGGGGACCTTACATCTAAGAGGTTTAATAACTGGGGCAGAAAGGAGAGTGTTGTTGGGCTACTTTACAAAGACAACAGAGGGCAGTGTTGACAAAGAATCTAAGGTTCATTCAATAAAGGCCGTTCAATAAAAGGATAAAGTTGGTGGATAGGCACTCTGTAAATCTACAACTTCGTAATTTTATATACCGATTATCCTGAATTCAATAGTAAAGCTCCTAACTGAAGCCCACTTTTGTTACAGATCAGAGTTAACAAGGGAGCTCTTGGGCCGGTACATCTCAGACACCCTCAGCCACATTAACACAGTGAGGAAGTTCTGCGACAGGCATTCCAAATGGGCCCTTCAGAGGGAGACAGAACTGGAAATGATGAGGGACATCAAGGAGAGGGCAGACAGAATCAACCTTAAGTTCGACCATGTCCGTAACTCAGCGACCAAGCCCAAGGCGTTTGGGGAGTTCTTATGGAGCGGTCTGACCCAGGTGACTGCAGACAGTAGGCGTGAGGAGCTGGAGAAGGAGCTGGGGGCTGTACTAAAGGACACTCTGGGAGGCCTGGAGAAGCTGGATTACTTCCTGGATGCTATGGAGTGTCTGGCGGTCACCTGTCTGTTGGTGTTTGAGGAGAACAGGTTCTTCTGTCTGGGGACGAGCCCTGCCAGTGTTCAGGCTGTCATCATTGCTGCCAGAATGACCTGCCCTCTCCTCATCCACTTTAAGAGGGATGCTAAGGCCTTCTTTAGGCCCAGCCTCCTCAATGTAGAGGTGCTGGCCTTCCAGCTGGATAGATACATACAAATCAGCCAGCAGCTCTGTAAGAGGATGGAGAAAGGGTAAGTGGAGCTCCCATCACAAATGCTTCAACATTAACTTATGTAATGTTCTTCATTGCCATTTTACTGTTAGATTACAGATCAGACCACAGCTTGAGAGTAAACTTGGGTAAGATGCCTCATACAGTTTTAATGTCATAATTTATATTATATTAGTATAATTGTACTATTTTTGTCCTTTCTTCTCAGAAATGTAATTTGACAAGGTTCTTGGGCTGTTGTGATATAATTCAAAAGCCACATAATAATCTAATGAATATAATGTAATGTTGAAATTAATATGCATTGTTACAGTAGCTCCATCAGTCAAATGCTGTTTTGGGAAAAGAAGAATGACATCCCTGTGGTCAACCTTGGTGATGTGAGGGAAGAGTCCATACAAATATGCTGGATCATTTGAATCAGCTGAGTGATATCAGGTAAGGTTAGTTTGGTTGTTCTCTTTAAACTTCTGTTAATATTTTTATTTTACTGGTATACAGTAAATAGATGTTGAATCTGTGTCCCCTCTGTCAGGATGGACCAGCACCTCAGACTGACGTTCCTGTTCCAAGAGGCTGCTCAGTGCTTCATTGGCCGGTTCAGCCAGCGCCGACCCAGGATGGAGCAGTTTCTGACCAAGCTGGAGGAGAGTGCTGTGCAGCTGGACAGGATGAAGCTGGGGGCTAAGATCTCCAGTGTGGCAGGCAGCTCAGTGGGGGTGGCTGGAGGGATCCTATCCATCGTGGGCTTAGCTCTGACCCCTGTCACTGCTGGGGTGTCACTGGCTCTCACCATTGCAGGGGTCAGCCTGGGGGTCACCAGTGGGGTCAACAGTTTAACCACTGGCATCACAGAGATGAAGGTCAATAGCATCCATGAGAAGAAAGCCAGTGAATTCTTCCAGAGTTTCATGGAGGACGTGGCGAGTCTCCAGGAGTGTCTGGAGGATGTGGCCAGGAATATGGAGCCCATCCTGGGGCAGAGAGGGGTGGACGTCGTGCTGGGAGCAGGGAAGGTGATTGCCAGAGGTGGGGCCATCGTAAAAGGCATCGACTCCATAGTGGACTGTGCCTCGACTCTGAGTGTGAAGGCCCTTGCAAAGGAAAATTTGATCGCAAGTGCTGGTAAGTTGGCGCTCCAGGAAGGCAAAGCAGCACGAAACCTGCCCAAGCTAGCAGGGGACATCCCGGACATTGGACAGGTGGCCAAAGGCACCCCACTCGCCCTCTCCAGCTCAGCGCGGGCTGGTTTCATCACACTCAACGCCCTCTTCATTGGCCTGGATGTTTTCTTCATCTGTAAAGACAGTGTGAGCCTGGCCAAAGGCAGTAAGAGTGAGATCTCCCAGCTCATCCGTGCCAGAGTGGCATTGTGGCGCACAGAGCTGGACTCCTGGCAGAGGATTCATGACTCGCTGTGTAGAGGAAATTGGAAGTTCAGAAAGTGCCAGAGAATCCTGGAGCAGCCTTTTTACCCTCCTGGAGGAGAATCTGAAAGAGAGAAAAAATGGATGTGTATGACACAGTAGGACAACATCAATGACTTACCAGTTTGAAGTTAGGGCCTCAAACATACTGTACAGTTGCACATACTGTACATTGCCTATCTGTGAGTCATTTTGATTATGCATTTTACTTGATTCTCCTTTATTTTTTCATAATTGAATGTAATAAATAAAAATGAAGGCAATTTAATTAAATGTATCCAGCTTAGCACTTATTCAGAGTAGTCTGTTTAATGTCATGGCCTGTTTTCCAAGGATGTGTTCAGTCAAAATACTGAAATAATAAATAAAAAATTTAAAAAATGTAATAATGTTTCTATGATTGTGCTGCTGACATGTACCTTCATGCACAGAAGACTCATCTTCCTCACTTTACCAGAAGTTGGAAGACGTCTTGCTAACAGGCAATGAAACATGTTAGTGCAATTTATTCTGATGTTGACTTGTGTGAAAAGTTTTCTATGAGACGTTATGAAATGGAAAGGGACTCATCATGTCTGGCCTTATTTGTGTTAGGGATGTAGCTCAGTTGGTAGAGCATGGCGTTTGCAACGCCAGGGTTGTGGGTTCGTTTCCCACGGGGGGTATAAAAAAATAATGTATGCACTCACTAACTATAAGTCGCTCTGGATAAGAGCGTCTGCTAAATGACTAAAATGTAAATGTTAATAATAGTAGGCCTAGTTTCTAGCGTTCTGAAATACCTTTGTAAAAAAAGTATTAAATAAATCATGTATGTACAAGTACAAAAAAAATGTTATGCACGCATGACTGTAAGTCGCTTTGGATAAAAGCGTCTGCTAAATGGCATATTATTTTTTTAAATATTATTTTATTGGTATTTTGTACCGCATTCTCATTTTCATCATGACAATTTAATACCAGACATCAGGGTGAAGCAGTCCGTAGTCATGTGTACTTCAAGACAAAAGCATTGTGTTGTACAACAGAACACAATAAGAACACTTTCCATGTGTTACCTAATATTTTCTGCTTCCACACAACTTATTGTAATGGTGATTATAAATCATCCTAAAACATGTGAGTTCCCTATATGTAATCCTATATGTACAGAAAGTGTTAAATCCCTTGCCCATATCATTTGACTTTTCTATATTTTGCATACAAGGAAACAAAAGCAGGAGGACTCGCATAGGACATCCTGAGAGGCAATAGCTTTTTACAGCCAGTGTATTGCCCTTGCCCCAGTGTAGCCTTGGCAACAGTCAAGTGTGGTAATCAAAGGCAGCAATACACACACACACTGTAACTTGTGATAATCAGAGCTATTTTCAGAACTAGTAGGGATTGCGGCTATAATGATTCATATTCACATTAATAACAGAAAATCATGCAAATTGATCAGACATTCAAAATATGCAGAATGATGGGAATACAGTGCATGCAGATAAGTTCTATCAAAAAGTAACGAGGTTCTATCAAGCAGTAACGAGTCAGTAATGATACATTTCCATCCAGTTCAGACTCTATATTTACATTCCATTCTTTATCGTTTACACACATTGAGAAAATACTGGCAGACATACAGTATATATTGTTAATCACATAAAACAACTTTCTCAGTGAGTACTGTAGGTATAGTATAGTGTTTTACTCACTGTCTGATTTCTCCTCTGTGTATCCTCTTTTTCTGCTGTCTCGTGGCCTCCTCTCCCTCTCCTTGAACGTATACAGTCAATGTTTTCCCCGGTCCTCTCCTCTCCCATCTTGGGAAGTCTTTTCTGAATGGCTTACGGTCTATAGCCATACCCTACTAATCAATCTTTACTGTCCGAGGGATCCAAAGTTCACAGTGGAATTCCTTGAATGTTCATCCAGCTAAACAACACTACTTTGGCAGGAAATAACGGTCTGGCTTTAACACTGCCCCAAGCAATACTGTTTGGGAACAGCTTATTTATTGTGCCTGAGGAAGATTCAACTTTTGGACACTGGCTCAGCGCCTGATGAGTTGGGAGGGGTTGTTTCTGGACAGGGCCCTGGCGATAACGAAACAGACTCACTTTTCAGTAGTAACACATTTCTGGCAAACAAGATTGAATGTAAGAACTCACCCTTAGTAATGAATGAAGGTCATATTTGTCATTATGTTTGATTGTTGAAGGTCCTTCTCTAAAAACAACATTCATTCTTTGGCAGATAAAAGCATTGACTGGAAGAACACCTTTACATTGGCTCAGCTTTGACCATGTGTTTGAGGAGCAGACGGGTGACATGCCTTGGAAGTAATCTGGGACATAGATCAGCAGTCTGACTGATGTAGCTCTGCCCTCACCAACTACCCAGTAGCCATTCACTCAACATGTATACAGAAATGTCAAGTATCTGTAAATATACCAGAATACTCAACTGCTATCAACCCTATATACACTTCACAGATACCGAGCAGAATAGGAATCCTCATCATTACTCATTTTGATGACTCATGCCTGCTTAGTGTTTATTTTTCAGTAGGAAAATAATGATTTCTCCTTTTAGTAGGAGAATATAAAAAATTAATGGAAACAAGAGCCAGTTTCACAGATCTTTATTTGAACGTAACAAGGGAGTATTTTCTGTGTGGTGCAGGCCACCTGGTCACTGGTGCAATCGCCACACCTTAGGGTTCTGGTTCATCTACAAAAAGAGGAGAGGAAGTAGAGAGAAAGGAGGGGGAGGGAAAAGGACATTAAATCAGTAAACATAAGTCATTCAGAATATGGAAAACGTATTGCACAAAAAGTCATCTATTAATCACATTACTTACAAACCATTAGACTGAGATTACAATCAAATATAAATCAAATTCAGAGACCACTGCCCACACATTGTAATATATACAGTGAATTCGGAAAGTATTCAGATCCCTTGACTTTTCCCACATTGTTACATTACAGCCTTATTCTAAAATGGATTCAATTGTCCTCCCCCCCCCCCCCCCCAATCTACACACAAAACCCCATTATGACAAAGCAAAAAAAATTGGCAAATTTTTTTAAAAACGGAAATATCACATTTACATAAGTATTCAGACCCTTCACTCAGTACTTTGTTGAAGCACCTTTGGCAGCGATTACAGCCTCGAGTCTTCTTGGGTATGACGCTACAAGCTTGGCACACTTGGATTTGGGGAGTTTCTCCCATTCTTCTCTGCAGATCCTCTCAAGCTCTGTCAGGTTGGATGGGGAGCGTCGCTGCACTGCTATTTTCAGGTCTCTCCAGAGATGTTTGATCGGTTTCAAGTCCGGGCTCTGGCTGGGCCACTCAAGGACATTCAGAGACTTGTCCCGAAGCCACTCCTGTGTTGTCTTGGCTGTGTGCTTAGGGTCGTTGTCCTGTTGGAAGGTGAACATTCACCCCAGTCTGAGGTCCTGAGGGCACTGGAGCAGGTTTTCATCAAGGATCTCTCTGTACTTTGCTCCGTTCATCTTTCCCTCGATCCGGACTAGTCTCCCAGTCCCTGCTGCTGAAAAACATCTCTACAGCATGCTGCCACCACCATGCTTCACCGTAGGGATGGTATTGGCCAGGTGATGAGCGGTGCCTGGTTTCCTCCAGACGTGACGCTTGCCATTCAGGCCAAAGAGTTCAGTCTTGGTTTCATCAGACCAGAGAATCTTGTTTCTCATGGTCTGAGAGTCCTTTAGGTGCCTTTTGGCAAACTCCAAGCCGGCTGTCATGTGCCTTTTACTGAGGAGTGGCTTCCGTCTGGAAACTCTACCATAACGGCCTGATTGGTGGAGAGCTGCAGAGATGGTTGTCCTTCTGGAAGGTTCACCCATCTCCACAGAGGAGCTCTGTCAGAGTGACCATCGCCCCCAATTGCTCAGTTTGGCCGGGCGGCCAGCACTAGGAAGAGTCTTTGTGGTTCCAAACTTCTTCCATTTAAGAATGATGGAGGCCACTGTGTTCTTGGGAACCTTCAATGCTGCATACATTTTTTGGTACCCTTCCCCAGATCTGTGCCGCAACACAATCCTGCCTCGGCGCTCTACGGACAATTCCTTCAACATCATGGCTTGGTTTTTGCTCTGACATGCACTGTCAACTGTGGGACCTTATATAGACAGGTGTGTGCCTTTCAAATCATGTCCAAACAGTTGAATTTACCACAGGTGGACTCCAATCAAGTTGTAGAAACATCTCAAGGATGATCAATGGAAACAGGATGCACCCGAGCCTCACAGCAAATAAAAAAAGGTATCCGTTTTTTTATTAGTAATACATTTGCAAAAAATTTAAATGAAACTGTTTTCACTTTGGCATTGTGGGGTATTGTGTGTAGATGAGGATAAAAAACTAACAATTTAATCCATTTTAGAACAAGGCTGTAACGTAACAAAATTTGGAAAAAGGCAAGGGGTCTGAATACTTTCCTAATGCACTGTAAACACTGTACAGCTACCGCGTAGTGTAAGGTGGCAGTCCTCACCTTCCTCCTCCTCCTCATCTTCATCATCATCATCATCTTCCTCATCTTCATCTGAGCTGAAGGTCCCGTCAGGCAAGCTATACACGCGGATCACTTGCTGTTGGCAAAAGCACACAAACACAAGATGATGATATTGACTCACACTGTAAGGAACACTAACATTTATAGGGCTCTGTGTGCAGACACGGTGTCAGACAATGGGGGAAATCAACTACTACAAGTTGCTCGGAGACAAGTACTAGTCTTTTGAATACTAGTCTTTCAAGTCATTGGCAGCTCTCTACAGAAACAGTCAAGGGTATGCTCTGCTCCGTGGTCAAGCATCACAGAGGCTCAGCAGTCCCGGGCTCACCTTGTTGGGGTCCTTGAGGATGAGGTACTTGCCCTCCTCCAGCTTGCGGCAGATGTCGATGACACAGCGCAGGATGCCCCAGGCGTTCTCCATGCTCAAGTTGATCTGGCTGGCAAACTCAGTGGGCTGGAACTGCTGGGTGCCCAGGACCACGTGGCGTGCAGAGTCCTTCGCGTGGTAACGAGACACGTACCTGGAGACATGGGAGGGAGGGGGGATTTAACTGATGGAGGTTGGTTGAATTGTTTTACAACAGAGGATGTACCGAGCTATTCAATCAAATGTATTTATAAAGCCCTTTTTACATCAGCAGATTTCACAAAGTGCTTATACAGAAACCCAGCCTAAAACCCCAAACAGCAAGCAATGCAGAATCAGGGTGGCTAGGAAAAACTAGGCAGGAACCTAGAGAGGAACCAGGCTCTGAGGGGTGGCCAGTCCTCTTCTGGCTGTGCCGGGTGAAGATTATAAGAGTACATGGCCATTAAGACGAGATTGTTCTTCAAGATGTTCAAACGTTCAGAGGACCAGCAGGGTCAAATTCAACTGATAACCAAGTGAATTTATAGACATTTGAAGGGGAAAAACAGTTTATGTGTACAGTATAGTTGCACTCTACCTGTGTGTATGTGTGTGTATGTGTGTGTGGGGGGAGGGTACTGACCCTAGCTTGAGGTACTCAGACCCAGCCAGCATGGCACAGCAGGTCCAGCGGGCCAGTTTGTAGCTGTTGTTCTTTAGCTCAGTGGCCAGAACAGCTCCTCTCTGAGAGTCCAGCTTCTGACGCCAGTCCACTCCATTACAGTGCTAAAGACAAGAACAAAACATTCAACAACACCATTAACCATTAGAGGGGAGGTTAACACTGCATTTCATCCCCAGTGATAGCATCAAATATCTATTACTGGCCTCTTACCCTGGAGTCCCACTCGTTAAGGGTCTTGACATTGATGAAGGACACCTCTCCGTTGGCCCCAGTCATCACTCCATCATGCTCACAGCGTACAATCAGGTCAATGTCCTCCCCCAGCTTCCAGCGGCGGTACCTGAGACACAAACACAGGTGAGTTTACAGGTCTACACAGCGACACCCCTCACCACTAACCCAGAGTATAGAGTCCTGCAGGACACAGATTACATGGATCCATTTAAAAACAGGAGTACCTACAAAAAAAATGTCTTCTTACAGATGTAAATGAAGTAACTGTGTATAGACTGACTGCTCAGACGGTCTGCAGTACTGAGAGAGCAGCATGAGAGCAGGGGTCAGTACCCACCTGTAGGCAACAGAGGCCACCTCACTCTTGTCTATGTCCTCCTCTACAATGGGTTGGGGTTAGGGAACTTGTGCCTCTCCCCGCCCTGAGGGAAAAACAAAGACACGTCATCATACTAGAACTCTCTGAACTTTAAAATAATTAACATCCAAATAAGATGTATTTTTACAATGGCATAAAAGCATGGTCTCTTTCCACATCACACTCACATTGAAGGAATGGCACTAGACATGTCCATTGGTGTATAGTTGTGGTCTTACCATGCGCAGACACTGCTGGCTGAAGTTATGGTTGATGTAGGTAGCCTCCATGGCCAGGTTACGGGGCGAGTTGAAGGAGTTGCCCTCGTCCTGTGGTGGCTCGTTGGCAGTCTCACTCACCGTCAACAGATCTGACATGAACATTTACAAATGGTTCGATGAGCCAAAAAAAACAAAAGCACCCCTAAACATTGGCATTATGATGACAAGAAGATTGAAATATTATTGAGTTGGATATTAGGTATAACTACTGATTCACTAGTAAACAAGAAGTCCTTGACCAGTCAGACGGACCAACAGTTTGAATAGATTTACTTGAGAAAGCCTCACCAAAGTCAGAGTTGTCCCTCTTGTCAAAGAAGAGCTTGTTGCCCACTCTCTGCACAATGATGTCCCAGGAGTTGACTGAGCGCGTGCAGCACATCAGGGTGGCCAGAATGGCATCGGTGGCAAACACGTTGCCCTGGGTCTTAGCCAACTGTAGAGAGGAGGGTATAGGGAAGGATTTAGATCAGAGAACACAGTCTACAGGGCAGTGGACATTGTAATAACCATGTTTTTGTTTCTGAAATGTGTGAAACCATTTGTTCTGAACAAGAATGTGCAGACAAAACAACAAAAGGACTGAATCAATAATATGTTGCTCTGGCTTATTGTACCTGGCACAGTGCTGTACATGTGTGGAATTGAGAGTGTGTACCTTGCGGATGACAGGGTCGTCGGTGGTGGTCACTGTGTGGAAGATCCTCTTGATGCTCTTGAGAGGCTTCTCGTTGCGAGTGGTGACGCGGTCAAAGGCCTTGTCGTAGTACTCCAACGCACCACAGCACTCACTGAGGGAGAAAGAACATCTATTGACTTTACGTGGATATAATAAAAGGGGAAAAAACTGACTGATTGCAGCTGAAAAGCCACTTGAACATGTTATTCAGACTGTGGGTTTTTGTTCTGAACTGTGTGATTGAGCCATAGACTGTAAAAATATGGACAAAGCCATCGATGACGTCCCCATTGTTCATATGAGATTGCCTATCACATTTACATAAGTATTCAGACCCTTCACTCAGTACTTTGTTGAAGCACCTTTGGCAGCGATTACAGCCTCGAGTCTTCTTGGGTATGACGCTACAAGCTTGGCACACTTGGATTTGGGGAGTTTCTCCCATTCTTCTCTGCAGATCCTCTCAAGCTCTGTCAGGTTGGATGGGGAGCGTCGCTGCACTGCTATTTTCAGGTCTCTCCAGAGATGTTTGATCGGTTTCAAGTCCGGGCTCTGGCTGGGCCACTCAAGGACATTCAGAGACTTGTCCCGAAGCCACTCCTGTGTTGTCTTGGCTGTGTGCTTAGGGTCGTTGTCCTGTTGGAAGGTGAACATTCACCCCAGTCTGAGGTCCTGAGGGCACTGGAGCAGGTTTTCATCAAGGATCTCTCTGTACTTTGCTCCGTTCATCTTTCCCTCGATCCGGACTAGTCTCCCAGTCCCTGCTGCTGAAAAACATCTCTACAGCATGCTGCCACCACCATGCTTCACCGTAGGGATGGTATTGGCCAGGTGATGAGCGGTGCCTGGTTTCCTCCAGACGTGACGCTTGCCATTCAGGCCAAAGAGTTCAGTCTTGGTTTCATCAGACCAGAGAATCTTGTTTCTCATGGTCTGAGAGTCCTTTAGGTGCCTTTTGGCAAACTCCAAGCCGGCTGTCATGTGCCTTTTACTGAGGAGTGGCTTCCGTCTGGAAACTCTACCATAACGGCCTGATTGGTGGAGAGCTGCAGAGATGGTTGTCCTTCTGGAAGGTTCACCCATCTCCACAGAGGAGCTCTGTCAGAGTGACCATCGCCCCCAATTGCTCAGTTTGGCCGGGCGGCCAGCACTAGGAAGAGTCTTTGTGGTTCCAAACTTCTTCCATTTAAGAATGATGGAGGCCACTGTGTTCTTGGGAACCTTCAATGCTGCATACATTTTTTGGTACCCTTCCCCAGATCTGTGCCGCAACACAATCCTGCCTCGGCGCTCTACGGACAATTCCTTCAACATCATGGCTTGGTTTTTGCTCTGACATGCACTGTCAACTGTGGGACCTTATATAGACAGGTGTGTGCCTTTCAAATCATGTCCAAACAGTTGAATTTACCACAGGTGGACTCCAATCAAGTTGTAGAAACATCTCAAGGATGATCAATGGAAACAGGATGCACCCGAGCCTCACAGCAAATAAAAAAAGGTATCCGTTTTTTTATTAGTAATACATTTGCAAAAAATTTAAATGAAACTGTTTTCACTTTGGCATTGTGGGGTATTGTGTGTAGATGAGGATAAAAAAACTAACAATTTAATCCATTTTAGAACAAGGCTGTAACGTAACAAAATTTGGAAAAAGGCAAGGGGTCTGAATACTTTCCTAATGCACTGTAAACACTGTACAGCTACCGCGTAGTGTAAGGTGGCAGTCCTCACCTTCCTCCTCCTCCTCATCTTCATCATCATCATCATCTTCCTCATCTTCATCTGAGCTGAAGGTCCCGTCAGGCAAGCTATACACGCGGATCACTTGCTGTTGGCAAAAGCACACAAACACAAGATGATGATATTGACTCACACTGTAAGGAACACTAACATTTATAGGGCTCTGTGTGCAGACACGGTGTCAGACAATGGGGGAAATCAACTACTACAAGTTGCTCGGAGACAAGTACTAGTCTTTTGAATACTAGTCTTTCAAGTCATTGGCAGCTCTCTACAGAAACAGTCAAGGGTATGCTCTGCTCCGTGGTCAAGCATCACAGAGGCTCAGCAGTCCCGGGCTCACCTTGTTGGGGTCCTTGAGGATGAGGTACTTGCCCTCCTCCAGCTTGCGGCAGATGTCGATGACACAGCGCAGGATGCCCCAGGCGTTCTCCATGCTCAAGTTGATCTGGCTGGCAAACTCAGTGGGCTGGAACTGCTGGGTGCCCAGGACCACGTGGCGTGCAGAGTCCTTCGCGTGGTAACGAGACACGTACCTGGAGACATGGGAGGGAGGGGGGATTTAACTGATGGAGGTTGGTTGAATTGTTTTACAACAGAGGATGTACCGAGCTATTCAATCAAATGTATTTATAAAGCCCTTTTTACATCAGCAGATTTCACAAAGTGCTTATACAGAAACCCAGCCTAAAACCCCAAACAGCAAGCAATGCAGAATCAGGGTGGCTAGGAAAAACTAGGCAGGAACCTAGAGAGGAACCAGGCTCTGAGGGGTGGCCAGTCCTCTTCTGGCTGTGCCGGGTGAAGATTATAAGAGTACATGGCCATTAAGACGAGATTGTTCTTCAAGATGTTCAAACGTTCAGAGGACCAGCAGGGTCAAATTCAACTGATAACCAAGTGAATTTATAGACATTTGAAGGGGAAAAACAGTTTATGTGTACAGTATAGTTGCACTCTACCTGTGTGTATGTGTGTGTATGTGTGTGTGGGGGGAGGGTACTGACCCTAGCTTGAGGTACTCAGACCCAGCCAGCATGGCACAGCAGGTCCAGCGGGCCAGTTTGTAGCTGTTGTTCTTTAGCTCAGTGGCCAGAACAGCTCCTCTCTGAGAGTCCAGCTTCTGACGCCAGTCCACTCCATTACAGTGCTAAAGACAAGAACAAAACATTCAACAACACCATTAACCATTAGAGGGGAGGTTAACACTGCATTTCATCCCCAGTGATAGCATCAAATATCTATTACTGGCCTCTTACCCTGGAGTCCCACTCGTTAAGGGTCTTGACATTGATGAAGGACACCTCTCCGTTGGCCCCAGTCATCACTCCATCATGCTCACAGCGTACAATCAGGTCAATGTCCTCCCCCAGCTTCCAGCGGCGGTACCTGAGACACAAACACAGGTGAGTTTACAGGTCTACACAGCGACACCCCTCACCACTAACCCAGAGTATAGAGTCCTGCAGGACACAGATTACATGGATCCATTTAAAAACAGGAGTACCTACAAAAAAAATGTCTTCTTACAGATGTAAATGAAGTAACTGTGTATAGACTGACTGCTCAGACGGTCTGCAGTACTGAGAGAGCAGCATGAGAGCAGGGGTCAGTACCCACCTGTAGGCAACAGAGGCCACCTCACTCTTGTCTATGTCCTCCTCTACAAATGGGTTGGGGTTAGGGAACTTGTGCCTCTCCCCGCCCTGAGGGAAAAACAAAGACACGTCATCATACTAGAACTCTCTGAACTTTAAAATAATTAACATCCAAATAAGATGTATTTTTACAATGGCATAAAAGCATGGTCTCTTTCCACATCACACTCACATTGAAGGAATGGCACTAGACATGTCCATTGGTGTATAGTTGTGGTCTTACCATGCGCAGACACTGCTGGCTGAAGTTATGGTTGATGTAGGTAGCCTCCATGGCCAGGTTACGGGGCGAGTTGAAGGAGTTGCCCTCGTCCTGTGGTGGCTCGTTGGCAGTCTCACTCACCGTCAACAGATCTGACATGAACATTTACAAATGGTTCGATGAGCCAAAAAAAACAAAAGCACCCCTAAACATTGGCATTATGATGACAAGAAGATTGAAATATTATTGAGTTGGATATTAGGTATAACTACTGATTCACTAGTAAACAAGAAGTCCTTGACCAGTCAGACGGACCAACAGTTGAATAGATTTACTTGAGAAAGCCTCACCAAAGTCAGAGTTGTCCCTCTTGTCAAAGAAGAGCTTGTTGCCCACTCTCTGCACAATGATGTCCCAGGAGTTGACTGAGCGCGTGCAGCACATCAGGGTGGCCAGAATGGCATCGGTGGCAAACACGTTGCCCTGGGTCTTAGCCAACTGTAGAGAGGAGGGTATAGGGAAGGATTTAGATCAGAGAACACAGTCTACAGGGCAGTGGACATTGTAATAACCATGTTTTTGTTTCTGAAATGTGTGAAACCATTTGTTCTGAACAAGAATGTGCAGACAAAACAACAAAAGGACTGAATCAATAATATGTTGCTCTGGCTTATTGTACCTGGCACAGTGCTGTACATGTGTGGAATTGAGAGTGTGTACCTTGCGGATGACAGGGTCGTCGGTGGTGGTCACTGTGTGGAAGATCCTCTTGATGCTCTTGAGAGGCTTCTCGTTGCGAGTGGTGACGCGGTCAAAGGCCTTGTCGTAGTACTCCAACGCACCACAGCACTCACTGAGGGAGAAAGAACATCTATTGACTTTACGTGGATATAATAAAAGGGAAAAAACTGACTGATTGCAGCTGAAAAGCAGCTTGAACATGTTATTCAGACTGTGGGTTTTGTTCTGAACTGTGTGATTGAGCCATAGACTGTAAAAAATATGGACAAAGCCATCGATGACGTCACCCCATTGTTTCATATGAGATTGCTCAGTGGTCGATGATCAGGAAGTGTCATTTCAGCGTGTCGCCATCTTTTTACATGGAGGAGTTTTTGGAAACATTGCATGCGCAGTTTGACCTACTCTATGAAGCGACGTTGAAGGCTAGCTCAATGCTGCCCCCTCTCATGGAGTATATCAAGTTCTGAGTGGCGCAGTGGTCTAAGGCACTGCATCGCAGTGCTAACTGTGCCACTAGAGATCCTGGTTCGAATCCAGGCTCTGTCGCAGCCGGCCGCGACCGGGAGACTCATGGGCGGCGCACAATTGGCCCAGCGTCGTCCAGGGTAGGGGAGGGAATGGCCGGCAGGGATGTAGCTCAGTTGATAGAGCATGGCGTTTGCAACGCCAGGGTTGTGGGTTCGATTCCCACGGGGGGCCAGTATAAAAAAATATGTATTCACTAACTGTAAGTCGCTCTGGATAAGAGCGTCTGCTAAATGACTAAAATGTAAATGTAAATGTAAGTTGAAGGCCGACAGAGGTACTGCAGGCTGCCATTAGCAACTAGATTATTCTTATAACTTCGTCCGTGTGTGATTTTAAAGTAAATCGGTTCAAGGACATACATCTGGTGAAATAGAAGCCATTATTGGTACCATGAATATTTTTCGTTTTCGTTTTTTTTGTATATCCACAAATATTGACCACGAAGATCGCCATTTCCCCATTCACTATAACGGGGATCCTGTTTTCTGGAAACATTGCCTGCAGTACCGCGGTCGGCCTTCAACTTGAAATCCTCAATGCGAGGGGGCAGTCGTTCTCCCCTGGATTGAGCACAGATGCAGTGTTGATAAGTCACTCACATGTCAGTGGGGTCCTCCACCTCCATGTATCTCATCTTCATCAGCCTGGGGAAGTCCATCTCCTCCTTCACCTCCCAGTCACTCCGGACCTCCACCGACGAGTCCCGGGGCTTCAACTGGGCCTTGAAATGAAAGGTATGAGGGGGGAAAGGAAAGGGGGGTAAGGGGGAAAGGGAAAGGAGGAGAGACAGGCACGTATGGTAGCGTTAGCAGGTGTTTGGGAAGACTGTTGCCAGAAAATTTATACGACTACATCAGACGTTATCTGAGGAGTATCACAATATGCTTCAGATGTCAGAAGGTGCACTGATAAAACAGTCCACATTCATCGTTGATCTTCCCATACCTGGGATTTCTGGTCCCACTTCTGACGGACACCAAACTGCTTCTGGAACTTTTTCTGTAGACGCATGCGATCCCTGGACAGAGCCACATTAGATTAGACAGAGGTATAGAGAAAACCAGACAACGACATGAGTTTTAGAATGTCACATTAGCAGTGGATTGGCTAAACAACTGCATGCAGCTCACCTCTCCTTCTGCTTGGCACTCTTCGGCAGGGTCTGCATATTGAACTGGGTCAGGTTCCTGCGGTCCTTGTCCCTGCGCAGATTCCTCTGTAAAAACAGAAAAAAACACCATCCTGTTATAGGTGACACAGAAAAGCATTTTTGGGGTACTGTGTGTGTGGTCGAGCAGGTTAGTCTTGTACCTGAGCAAACCTCATGCGGTTCCTCTGGTAGGCAGTCTTCTGCGTCTTGGCAGTGTCCACCAGCTGGAAGCTCGTCTCGTCCTCCTCATGGAAATAGGCATACTGACTACCACCCCCAAACTGAGATGAGTACTTGTCTGTCAAAACAATCAACCAAACGTCAAATTATGGCATCCATGGTCTGAAATACCAGAAAATAAATAAATATTGAATATAGACATTTAGAATAGGCAAGATATTCTGGATTATGTTCACACCATATCATGTTGTTATTATGAATCCTACAATTCAATTTAACCCACTTGTGTATCTCTTGTCCTGGTAGGTTGCTCCAGTCCAATCAGCTACCTGCACAGATGGACAGAATAAAGTAGATCAGTCAGCCTAATTTCCTCCTCTTGAAGCAGGACAAACTGCTGTTCATAATTAAAAGTGTGAGGCAGCAGAGGAAGACCAACCTTTCCCAGACGGTCTCCTTTGCTGAAGGGCTGGTAGGGCATGTCCTTAAACTTCTCAGGGACAGCACAAGGACCCCATCCTGAGGGATTGTCCTGAATCTCAGGGGCGTGGAACTTCGCCATGGTCTGAGGTTAGGGCAGATGTTTTAACATTTCAAACGAAACGCTGATTTGAACAATATCTAGTTACCTTATACTATGTATATTAGATTGAGATTTAGTGTACATACGAGGGCAAGTGGATTATAAAATTAGTAACCTTGTCCTCAGGGTCTCAGACAATATCAATGAACAGCACTGTTTTCACTCAGCAATGCACTAACATTAGATAGGCATTTCAGTTTGCGCAGTGGCCTAGTCATCACGGACCCAGGAGACATTACCATTGGATTGCTAAAAAACTGCCATCGATAGACTATTTGCATATTGCATACGTAATCATCATGCAGCGTAAGCTATAGCTAACGTCGTTATCTACAACCCCCTGGCCTAAGCTTACTATCGTTAGCCAGCTAGCATTATATTAGCAGGTGACCTAGTTAGCTAGCTAACAAAAAAATTCACAACACCCAAATGTAGTAAGGGGACATTAATCGGGGACATCAATGAGTGAGCGTAGCTACGTTCTGTTTCCATATGGACACTATGGCACGCTAACCAGCATGCTTGCTAGCTCGTTAGCCAGGTGGCAGATAGCAAGTTGCTAACAGCAGTGGCAGTAACGTCCTCTCGAGTACATCTCACATTATGTTTATCCTAAACATCTTTGTAAACATGACATTTTCATACATCTTTAAATGTCTCATTCGAATCTCACCTTGAAGATTGTGACGACCAAACGGCAGCTTTTATTCGGCCAATCAGCCGAGTCACAATTTTCTTCTAAAAGCGCCTTAGAAAAAGGAAGTATAAAAGTACCGTAAAGACTGTAAAACTACCGTAAAGACTGGTTTTCCGGCAGACTAGACGCTTTGTTGCATATTGCTGCCATTCACAGGTCGGAGTGTGAATTGCACATTTTGTTCCCCCAAAAAAAGTGAAATGGGGAAAAAATGCATTGCACCACCATCTAACCCTAGATATACACCACTATCCCCAACAAACCCACCACCCCTTCACACTACTTTGGCCCTAACATCCTACACCAGGCCTCGCCCTGGGAGGCTGGAACCCCCTTCTCTCAAACCCCCCTGTAGTTCTTCTACACTAAAATCTTGACACCCAAAAACGTCTCTGCTTTCCATCTGTGCAGTAATGACCATAGCAATAAATGCCAAGAAGCCAACCTTACTGTGTACTACTCCCTTCACAGAACAGCGCAAACTGGCTCTAACCAGAATAGAAAGAGGAGTGGGAGGCCCCGGTGCACAACTGAGCAAGAGGACAAATACATTAGAGTGTCTAGCTTGAAAAACAGAAGCCTCACAGGTCCTCAACTGGCAGCTTCATTAAATAGTACCCGCAAAACACCAGTCTCAACGTCAACAGTGAAGAGGCGACTCCGGGATGCTGACCTTCAAGGCAGAGTTGCAAAGAAAAAGCCATATCTCAGACTGCCCATCTTAATCTTTTATTTTTATTGGCCAGTCTGAGATATGGCTTTTTCTTTGCAACTCTGCCTAGGTCAGCATCCCGGAGTCGCCTCTTCACTGTTGACGTTGAGACTGGTGTTTTGAGGGTACTATTTAATGAAGCTGCCAGTTTCAGAAGAAAGTTCTTTGTTTCTGGCCATTTTGATCCTGTAATCGAACCCACAATTGCTGATGCTCCAGATACTCAACTACTCTCAAGAAGGCCAGTTTTATTGCTTCTTTAATCAGCACAACAGTTTTCATCTGTGCTAACATAATTGCAAAATGGTTTTCTAATGATCAATTAGCCTTTTAAAATGATCAACTTGGATTAGCAAACACAACGTGCCATTGGAACACAGGACTGATGGTTGCTAATAATGGGCCTCTGTACGCCTATGTAGATATCCCATAAAAAATCAGCCGTTTCCAGGTACAATAGCCATTTACAACATTAACAATGCCTACACTGTATTTCTGGTCAATTTGATGTTATTTTAATGGACAAACAAATTGCTTTTCTTTAGAAAACAAGGACATTTCTAAGTGACCCCAAACTTTTGAACGGTAGTGTACATATATACAGTGCATTCGGAAAGTATTCAGACCCCTTGACTTTTTTCACATTTTGTTACGTTACAGCATTATTCTAAAATTGATTAAATTGTTCATCAATCTACACACAATTCCCCATTATGACAAAACAAAAACAGGTTTATAACATTTTTAGCAAATTGATAAAAAATACAAAACTGAAATATGACATTTACATAAGTATTTCGACCCTTTACTCAGTACTTTGTTGAAGCACCTTTGGCAGTGATTACAGCCTCAAGTCTTTTTGGGTATGACGCTACAAGCTTGGCACACCTGTATTTGGGGAGTTTCTCACATTCTTCTCTGCAAATCCTCTCAAGCTCTGTCAGGTTGGATGGGGAGCGTCGCTGCACTGCTATTTTCAGGTCTCTCCAGAGATGTTCGATTGGGTTCAAGTCCGGGCTCTGGCTGGGCCACTCAAGGACATTCAGAGACTCCTGCATTGTCTTGGCTGTTTGCTTAGGGTCATTGTCCTGTTGGAAGGTGAACCTTTGCCCCAGTCTGAGGTCCTGAGGGCTCTGGAGCAGGTTTTCATCAATGATCTCTCTGTACTTTGCTCTGTTCATATTTCCCTCGATCCTGACTAGTCTCCCAATGCCTGGCACTGAAAAACATCCCCACAGCATGATGCTGTCAACACCATTCTTCACCGTAGGGATGGTGCCAGGTTTCCACCAGATGTGACGCTTGGCTTTCAGGCCAAAGAGATCAATATTGGTTTTATCAGACCAGAGAACCTTGTTTCTCATGGTCTGAGAGTCTTTAGGTGCCTTTTGGCTAACTCCAAGCGGGCTGTCATGTGCCTTTTACTGAAGAGTGGCTTCTGTCTGGCCACTCTACCATAAAGGCTTGATTGGTGTAGTGCTGCAGAGAGGATTGTCCTTCTGGGAGGTTCTCCCATCCCCACAGAGGAACTCTGGAGCTCTATCAGAGTGACCATCGGGTTCTTGGTCACCTCCCTGACCAAGGCCCTTCTCCTCTGATTGCTCAGTTTGCCCGGGAGGCCATCTCTAGGAAGAGTCTTGGTGGTTCCAAACTTCGTCCATGTAAGAATGATGGAGGCCACTGTGTTCTTGGGAACCTTCAATGCTGCAGACATATTTTGGTACCCTTCCCCAGATCTGTGCCTCGACACCATCCTGTCTCGGAGCTCTACAGACAATTCCTTCGACCTCATGACTTGGTTTTTGCTCTGACATGCACTGTCAACTGTGGGACCTTATACAGACAGGTATGTGCCTTTCTAAATCATGTCCAATCAATAGAATTTACCACAGGTGGACTCCAATCAAGTTGTAGAAACATCTCAAGGTTGATGAATGAAATCAGGATGCACCTGAGCTCAATTTCGAGTCTCATAGCAAAGGGTCTGAATACTTATGTAAATAAGATATTTCTGTTTTCTATTTTTAATACATTTGCAAAAATGTCTAAAAACCTGTTTTTGGGCTATTGTGTGTAGATTGACAAGGGGGAAAAATCATTAATTCCATTTTAGAATAAGGCTGTAACGTAATAAAATGTGGAAAAAGTCAATGGGTCTGAATACTTTCCGAATGCACTGTATGACAAAATGGAGTGGCAGTATAGTTCGTTACCATCCTCAGTAGCTTTCCATCTAAGTTGTCAATACCAGGTGGTTTCTCATCATTGATGGACAACAATACATTTTCACACTAACTTGACAGAATAAAAATGTTTCAACGCTTTCCTTTCATTATTAGGTCTTTTATGCATTTCATTCCTGAGTTTGCCCAGTTCACCTATGAAATAGTCATACAAATAATTGCCAATATCAAAAGGTTTTGTGATGAATGAGCCTTCTGATTCAGTGAAAGATGTAGTTGAATTAGTCTTTCTGTCCATTATTTCATTTAAAGTACTTCAAAGCTTTTTTTCATCATACTTTATATTATTGATCTTAGTTTCATAATACAGTTTCTTCTTCTTTTTGTTCAGCTTAGTCACATAATTTCTCAATTTACAGTAAGTTTGCCAATCAGATGTGCTGCCAGCCTTATTAGCCTACTCCTTTTTCTTCATCTCTCTCAACCATACCGTTTTTCAATTCCTCATCAAGCATTAACAGTTCTAACAGGCAGTTTCTTAATAGATGCATACTTATTAATAGCTGGAAGAAACAATGTCATAAATGCATCAAGTGCAGCGTCTGGATGCTCGTCATTACACATATCAGACCAACAAATCTTTTTTACATATTCAACATAGGAATCACTTCAAAACGTTTTGTATGATCTCCTATACACTATTTTAGGCCCAGCCTTTGGAACTTTGGCTTTTCTGGATATAGCCCACTGCAGTATATTATGGTCACTATGTCCAATGGGTGTGGATACAGTTTTAGAACAAAGTTCCGCATCATTAGTAAAAATGTGATCAATACACGTGGATGATATATTTCCTGTAGTGTTTGTAAACACCCTGGTAGGTTGATTAATAACCTGAACCAGATTACAGGCACTGGTTACAGTGAGAAGCCTCCTCTTGAGTGGACAGCTTGATGAAAACCGGTCTATATTCAGGTCACCCAGAAAATAGACCTCTCCGTTAACATCACATACACTATCAAGCATTTCACACATACAGTGGGGAAAAAAAGTATTTAGTCAGCGACCAATTGTGCAAGTTCTCCCACTTAAAAAGATGAGAGATGCCTGTAATTTTCATCATAGGTACACGTCAACTATGACAGACAAATTGAGAAAAAAAATTCCAGAAAATCACATTGTAGGATTTTTAATGAATTTATTTGCAAATGATGGTGGAAAATAAGTATTTGGTCACCTACAAACAAGCAAGATTTCTGGCTCTCACAGACCTGTAACTTCTTCTTTAAGAGGCTCCTCTGTCCTCCACTCGTTACCTGTATTAATGGCACCTGTTTGAACTTGTTATCAGTATAAAAGACACCTGTCCACAACCTCAAACAGTCAC